CAGGACTAATGTTGAAGTGCTCAGTTACTAACACTGTCATTAATCATAAGAATTTGAATACCACAGAAGAAAAAAGTACTTACCTGAACATTGGCACTATAGGTGGTGTCACTCTGGAAAAGAATAAATGATTTCATTCTTTAAGAGTTATTTAAATACAGTAAGCTTATAGAAACCCAATTCTTTCTGCTACTGCTTACAGACATAAAAAATAAATAATACTCTGTTACTCATATTCCCCACAGCCTTGCTTAAATCAGTCTGAAATCCTACTGTTTCAGTCTGAAAAAGATTTTCATAGCCACTGTATCTCTCTTCTTTTTTTCCTAGTATGCAGTTAAAGTTTGTCTATGGGACTTGCTTTTTTTTTTTTTTGAACACTACTGTAAAATTTATCCTTAGGTTTTAAGTGAAGTTTTCCGTTACTGCAAAGGCACCAAAGTCTTTTTATCCATATTTCAGTTCACCAAGTTAAATGCATTTAAAAGCACAAAATGCACCTGCCAACACTTACATAATTTTCAGTAAAAAAACATGCTATTAGTGTGGGAAATCAACATTCTTTCTGGTTTATTCTGCTTGCAAGGCTGCATCTAGCAGTGCAATATTTTCCCATCTACATGAAAAATACGCTGATGAAAATATACTAGAGAAAGCATACTCACATCATCACAAGCATTATCGTCTGAGTAACTTTGCGAATCCTAGAAGGACATTAAATACCAGTTATTTCCTCACAAAAATGGATGGTTAAAACTAAACTTTGTACTCTGCAAGACAGAACTGAGGCACGTGCAAACAAAAAGCTGAATTAAATTAAGTCCTTTATAAGGAAAATAGGGAGCCAAATACAACAGTTGCTTACAGGGAATGCTGAAAAAAACAAAACCAATCCAAACCAAAAAGAGCATAGAAACTGTTATGTTCTAGTACATCTTTGAGAAAGATTATGCAGGGACTACAATGATTAGCACAAAATAATACGTATCTAGAAGACAGAAAGAATTAATTACCTGATTATCATAATAGGTGTCTGATCCACCCTTTAAAACAAACAAACCAAAATCAGAAGAAATTAGAATACGGGAAACCTGATTTTGGGTAGAGGCTAAAGCTTGTACGAAGCGATGAACAAGTAGGGAAATAGAGCATTACTTACTTGGCCACCTGAATAGCCTTGCGAGTAGGATCCACCCTGTAAAAACAAACAAATATAAACCCTATTTCAGAAGAAACTGTGGTTTTATTTGGGGGCTGTAAAGTTGGAATTACCTGGGATTCCTTTGAGCAAATACAACTTTCTGGATATCTATACAGCTTTATCAGATATGATAAAAGTTCTTACCAGGAGAAAAATCAAGGTCTACCTACCTGGTTGCCACCATAACTTTGTGAGGATGGTGATCCACCCTGCCAACAAAAATAAATAGAATTAATATTACAATGTTGTAAATCAGATATTCATAATTCCTTTTGGAACCTGTGAAGTAAAACCTCAGTGGGAGGAAATAATAATCTAGTACTTACTTGGCTACCATCATAGGTTTGTAAGGAGTATGATCCACCCTGTGAAAACAAAACAGCAACAGGTAATGCTAGAGACCTGAATATGACCAGCAGCTTTATCGGGTTGCTGAATTCTTTCTATGTAAATGGAATTTCTAGGCTGAAAACCCCTTCCTTTTCAAGAGAGTGAGATGCAGGTTAGAGCTGGGGAACCTCTGCAAGAGTCTATACCCTCATGAGCAAGGAAACTGTATTCTGGATTAGACCTGCTTAAAAAGTTTTTACCAATGGATAATAAAGAGCTGCCTACCTGACCACTCTGTGATCCATCCTGTAAATGAGACAAAAATAGGTGTGCTTTTGACACTTGCTGGTTGACTATGGCTTATTTTTAATGAAAGCTATGATTCTTTCTGAGAAAGAGTAAGGAGCAGAGGCAGCTATGCGATACAGATATGATGTCTAATGTAGTGAGTATAGATCACCAATAGTGCAAAGGTAAATTCTACATAATACCTATGCCAAGGAACTACAAACTTTTAGCTTTAAGTAATGCCTAGCACACAGATGAGTTTCATTCTGAATTGTCTCTAGAGAATGTATCTTTTTTTCTTCTGTGGAAAACATAACTTCTACAACTGGAATGAAAAATTCCCCTGGTAGCATTATTACACAGAAAGCTGTGAGACGTCAAATACAGTGGCCTTGAGGAAAAGGTTTAAAATAAAGCACTCGGTATGTTTCAACATGCCCTCTTTAGAAGGGGGATGTAAATTCTCCAAGTGAAATCAAAAGAGATATTTGTAGAAGCATTAGTGACAAAAGTGCATAAGAACAGTGAGATCCTGAGCTACTGAAGAGTGGGATATTTGCCAGTCACTAAAATGGGGCTCAGACATCATCCAGAAGAGGCAAAGGAAAATGAAATGAGAAGTATTGTCTGTCAGTGTTCTAACAGTTTTTAGTACAAAATTTAAGTGTTGCCTTTAGTCTTGGAAAGAAATAGCTCTCCTTTATTTAAAAAAATAGCTATTATAAAAAAACATACTAATGTACCTACATCATATATTATTCTTTCAAGTTATGTACAGTGTATCGTGAATACTGTATATTCTATACCACATATTATAGCAACATCTATGTTGTTTGTATATTTATCAATATATTTAGATTGCTAATACAATGAATGGATCTCATTTTTCTATTTCTTCTGAAAAATCAGCAAGAATCAAGAGAAGTGTGAACAAAAAAAAAAAAAGAACAAATCATCTATTGCTGTTTTCTTCATAATTTCTAACATTTACAGAGATTGTTTCTTTAAACATAGTAGACATCTTTTAGGATAGTGCTTTTTAGAGATCCAGCACCAAAAGTTTCAGCTTTCCAGAATCTGGCCTTAGTATCCTATAGAGCTAGACATTTCACAGACATAATGCTAGGAAAAAGGGGAGAACAGCCACCAAGCCCATGTGATATTCCTGTGTATAGGAAGACAGTAAGTGCTAATCTCATAATTGGTAAAATTACATGGATTTACAGTCTATGAATCAGAAGCTGGTTCCAATTGAGTTAGTGGCAAAAATGATTTTGAATGTGTCTTAAAAATCAGAGAAGGAAAAGCATTTACCTGGTGGCAGGGATTGCTGTCATAGGAGACCCCCTGTTAAAAAATAAACCAAAAGGTAAATGTCCCAACTGTCATTTTCTTGCAGAGTAGTCAGCTTTCTTCAAACTTCTATGTGAGAATTAATGGAATAAAACTCTACATAAAACTTTACAGAGGGTGAGTTTAATTGCATTTAACCCTTTAAGTCTGTGACTTTACCCTCTGTCACTCCCATACCCACATAGTCACAAGCACGAAGACATATGCACACATATGATCAAAGGAGGACTACTGTGTGCCATATGGAAAGCAAGGTAGGCTGGCAGCTGAATGATACAGACTCTCGGTATCACTCTAGTTCCTCTTGATTGCTAAAGGTAAATTGTTTTGTTGGGTTGGTTTGGACAGTCCATTTAGGAATCAACAGTTACAGCTGTGTGACCATCTACTTCAGAATCACACTAGATTCACCCATCATAGATCTTAGGCAAGGCTAATGCCCAACAATCATAGAAGCAGCTTGGTTGGAAAAAAAACTTTAAAATCATCAAATCCAACCATTCCCCCAGCATTGAAGACACTGTCTTTACACTGTGTGGGCATACAGAAGTTGAAATGGAACCAGGATGAAAACTACTAATGCAATTCTTAATCCATAGGAGCCACTCTTTAATCTTAACACCTTCTGTAGGAAGTAAATGGGCCAACATCCAAAACTCATTCCCAAGAAAAGTTTTTGCCTCTTTACTGAGAAGATACATGAAACATTACTTGGCCATCTTTTGTGTGTAACACTATATGGTGAGAAGCCACTTCATTTTGGTTACAATGACCAACAATATCAGTGCTTCTTGATCTCTGTGCTAGAAGATTCCATGTAAGAATGAAACCAAAAGATTTCAACTAATAAAAATTAGCTAACTTATTGGAAAATATGCTACTACTACAAACAAAGCTAGGTCTAGTTTTCAGATAGTGTGGAGAAAGAGGACTTACTTGTCCACAACCGTTGCTGCCACCTGAGTAACCAGATCCACCCTGTTGGAAAAAAGAAAACAAGAGTTAGAAAAGAGCAGCTCAGTAATCCAAATATTCCTTTTCTTCATTTCAAATACAAAAAAATGTTGGAAAGGGCTTTAGCTGCCTGACCACTTTCTAAGAAAACCAGGCACATCCTAGTGAGTGTTTTATTATGAAGTACTTCCCTAAGTGGGAAGGACGTGTATCAATAACCCTATAGTTAGCAGACCCATATGAATAAAGTTCACAATGTCTAATGAGACCTTACTATACTGTTTCAAGAAAAAAACCCATAAAATTCTTGATATATAAAGGAACATCAGGTGTGTTGTATACTAACTGGTGTATTTACCAGGCCATAGGAAATGCTATCTTGAGGCTGATATCCCTGTAACAAAGGCATGAATTCAGTTGTAAACAAAGCTGCTTGCCCTATTGGGCAATCTTCTAGAATAGAATTTTAGGTATTTTTTAGAATAGAAAATGTTCTATCAAATTTAGAATTGTGAGAGCTTGCTGAGTGCTTTTGCAGGGCCATGGCACTCCCCTTGCTACAGTGCTGCGTTCTGACTGGTGAAGGGCAGATACTTACCAGGTTGTAGGAAACACTTTGAGGTCGGGAGCCCTGTAAGGAAAACAAGAACTCAGCTGTAAGTAGAGCTGTACTCTCAGCAGAGCTTTAACAGAACAGCCCATTTCCACCAACAGTTCCTCTGTGCTCAGTTCTTTTTCCTTCACTCAGTGGCACAAATCAAAACCAAGGACCACTCAGCAACACCAGGAAGGAAAAACCCCAGACAAATCCCAAAGCCCATTTGCAAGGCAGGATCCTAGAGAAAAGCTCACTGCATTTCAGGAAAGAAGTCTCACCTGGCCAGAGTATTGGCTGCTTTGGGGAGTCTGTAAAAAAGAGAAGGTAATTAACACCTTGACAAGAGGCTTCTATAGAGAGCATCATGTTTATGAAAGTATAGCTGCACAAGGGTTTCCCAGAAAGGCTCGTCCTGAGCCACAGGAGACAGAACAGGCTGCTGGCATCTGTGCAGCAAATAGGTTGCCCTATTATCAGTGAAAGCCTTGAAACACATTGAGGTGCAACTGCCAAAGGAAATATCGAAAACTTGCCAATGGTGCTGGTCACACAGAGGGGTCAGTGAAGAACTTCCCATGGAACGGCCAGTTTGCTTCCCTGGCCATAAGAACTGCTACTGCCCCAGGAACTTGGCCCACACTAGAACAAGGACATGTGCTTACTCTCCTTTTGTAAGGCATGCAGTCTGCATTAGGAAGAGCAAACAACTACATCCTAAAGCTGTGTGGGGCAGTATGAAGAGCCCAGACCTCCTCCTGGCCCTTGCAATGATGCTGAGTGCAATGATTTCATGTGCTGGGATTTCAGATAAGGAAGTATTTTGAGTGTGAAAATAGAGCTGTCCAGGGAAAACATCCTTAAAAGCTGCAATTGTGCGAGCTTGCTGAGTGCTTTTGCAGTGCTATGGCACTCCACTTGCTCCAATGTTGTGTTCTGACTGGTGATGGGCAGATACTTACCAGGGTGTATGAAACACTTTGAGGTCGGGAGCCCTGTAAGAAAGACAAGAACTCAGCCGTAAGTAAAGCTGTAGTCTCAGCAGAGCTGCAACAGAACAGCCCATTTCCACTAACAGTTCCTCTGTGCTCGGTTCTTTTTTCCCTCAAGGTAACTCAGTGGCACAAACCAAAACCAAGGACCACTCAGCAACACCAAAAAGGAAAAATCCCAGCCAAACCCCAAAGCCCATTTGTAAAGAAGAGCTTAGAGAAAAGCTCACTGCATTTCAGGAAAGAAATCTCACCTGGCCAGAGTACTGGCTGCTTTGGGGACCCTATGAAAAGAGAACTGTCATTCAAAATTGGAATTGTGAATGATTGCCAAAGTGCTTTTGCAGTGCCATGGCACTCCACTTGCTACAGTGCTGTATTCTGACTGGTACTGACAGATGCTTACCTGGCTGTATGAAACACTTTGAGGCCGGGATCCCTGTAAGAAAGGAATTAGTGATTCATAATTACTGTATTGATGAAGTAGATGCCTCTCTCAATCTTGTCTCTTTGCGAGCAAAACCCCCCAGAATACAACAGAGAATGTACAGTCTTCATTGCTTTACTGGAGTTATTCTAATCTTAATTCTGGATGAATATCTGATCACACAGTATTTATTAAATGACAATCACAGAGTATTTTTATGTCCATCTCAGGTGGGACTCTACTATTATAATGGTTTCCCAGCACATTCAAGGGACACAATATTTTCTCATTGTGTTTCTTTTGTCTGCTGTTCTCAGACATTGGGCTTAGATGGCTAATTGTAAGTGAATCTTAGAGTCACAGACTAGTGTGGGTTGAAAGGGACCTTAAAGCTCACACAGTTCCAACCCCCTGCCATGCGCAGGGACACCTTCCACTAGAGCAGGTTGCTCCAAGCCCCATCCAACCTGGCCTTGTATGAGGCATCTACAACTTTTGATTTCCTGTACTTGTATTATTGGGCCAGATCTGCACAATTCCCTTCCTCTGAGGGAAAATAAAGGTGAAAAATAATTTGAAAAAATTAAGAAAGAATCTGACAAAAAGATAAAGATTCATAAAATGGAAACAATGCAATTAAAAGTAGCAGGTCAAATGAATCAGTCAAGGATGCCAGTACTGTGGGTAACTATACGCTGCTGAAGCAATCTGCCTTCAACAGAATGTCAAATAAATGCAGGTGCTCCATGTACATTCAGACCTGAGCAACAGCTTTCTGGGAGGGTTATGAAGTCAGGGATTACTAAAAAGAATTGGAATTATCTTGTGTATTTCTGCCATCTGACATGAAGATCCTGACAAAATTCAGAGTTATCTTAGGGCTGCTTTAATTCACACAGAAATGGTAAAGGGAGGTGAACATTCATCATCTGCAGGCTTAAAGACCAAATCTTCCTGCATCTAAGGACCTAAGCCAAAATTCTTCAGCTCCTCAACACTGTTTCTCTGTACTGGGACCAAAGGAGACAGCAAAAAACTTACTGTAAATTCGCCTTGCAACATGTAAATAAACTAGAACAACAGCAAACAGACTATACCATAAAGTTTGAGGTTCCATACACATATGAAATATCAGACAGCAACAGTAACTCATACTTCTGGCAGATATCCATTACAAACACAACTGTCACTTTAACAAATAAAGATTTGAAATGAATTCAGATTTGTTCTTTCTGAAGAGATCAGTAAAATTTGGGGTAAAAAAATTACATATTTCCTGCCCTTTGCAGTGTCATGGCACTGCACTGGCTCATGTGCTGTGTTCTGACAGATACTTACCAGGCCGTAGGAAACACTTTGAGGTCGGAAGCCCTGTAAGAAAAACAAGAACTCAGCTGTAAATAAAGCTGTACTCTCAGCAGAGCTACAACAGAACAGCCCATTTCCACTAACAGTTCCTCTGTGCTCAGTTCTTTCCCCTTCATGTTAAATCAGTGACACAAACCAAAACCAAGGACCACTCACAAACACCGAGAAGGAAAAAGCCCAGACAAACCCCAAAGCCCATTTGCAAGGCAGGATCCTAGAGAAAAGCTCACTGCATTTCAGGAAAGAAATCTCACCTGTCCAGAGTATTGGCTGCTTTGAGGAGTCTGTAAAAAAGAGAAGGTAATTAACACCTTGACAAGAGGCTTCTATAAGTAGCATACTATTTATGAAAGTATAGCTGCACAAGGGTTTCCCAGAAAGGCATATCCTGAGAAAGCAGACAGAATAGGCTGCTGGCATCTCTGCAGCAAATAGGTTGCCCTATTATCAGTGAAAGCACTGAATCAATTTGAGATGCAACTGCCAAAGGAAACATCAAAAACCTGCCAGTGGTGCTGGTCACACAGAAGTCAGTGAAGAACTTCCTACGGAATAGCCAGTTTGCTTTCCTGGACATAAGAACTGCTACTGCCCCAAGAACTTGGCCCACACTAGGATAAGGACATGTGGTTACTCCCCTTTTGTAAGGGATCTAGCCTGCATTAGGAAGAGCAAGCAACTACATCCTAAAGCTGTGCGGGGCAGTATGAAGAGCCCAGACTTCCTCCTGGCCTTCACAGTGATGCTGAGTGCAATGATTTCATGTGCTGGGATTCCAGATAAGAAAGTATTTTCAGTGTGAGAGTACACATATTCACATGAATTGCCCTTGAAAGTTGCCACTGTGAGAGCCTGCTGAGTGCTTTTGCAGTGCTATGGCACGCCACTTGCTCCAATGCTGGTTTTGGACAGGTGACGGGTAGATACTTACCAGGGTATAGGAAATACTTTGAGGCCGGGAGACCTGTAAGAAAGACAAGAATTCAGCTGTAAACAAAGCTGTACTCTCAGCAGAGCTACAACAGAACAGCCCATTTCCACTAATAGTTCCTCTGTGCTCAGTTCTTTCTCCTTCATGTTAAATCAGTGACACAAACCAAAACCAAGGACCACTCACAAACACCGAGAAGGAAAAAGCCCAGACAAACCCCAAAGCCCATTTGCAAGGCAGGATCCTAGAGAAAAGCTCACTGCATTTCAGGAAAGAAATCTCACCTGTCCAGAGTATTGGCTGCTTTGAGGAGTCTGTAAAAAAGACAAGGTAATTAACACCTTGACAAGAGGCTTCTGTAAGTAGCATACTATTTATGAAAGTATAGCTGCACAAGGGTTTCCCAGAAAGGCATATCCTGAGAAAGCAGACAGAACAGGCTGCTGGCATCTGTGCAGCAAATAGGTTGCCCTATTATCAGTGAAAGCACTGAATCAATTTGAGATGCAACTGCCAAAGGAAACATCAAAAACCTGCCAGTGGCGCTGGTCACACAGAGGGGTCAGTGAAGAATTTCCTATGGAACGGCCAGTTTGCTTCCCTGGCCATAAGAACTGCTACTGCCCCAGGAACTTGGCCCACACTAGGACAAGGACATGTGCTTACACCCCTTTTGTAAGGGATCCAGCCTGTGTTAGGAAAAGCAAGCAACTACATCCTAAAGCTGTGCGGGGCAGTATGAAGAGCCCAGACTTCCTCCTGGCCTTCACAGTGATGCTGAGTGCAATGATTTCATATGCTGAGATTCCAGATAAGAAAGTAGAACATGGATAAAGTTTGAGTGAGAGAATTCATATGTTCATATAAAATGTCCTTCAAACTTAGAACTGTGAGAGCTTGCTGAGTGCAATTGCAGTGCCACAGCACTCCACTGTTACAGTGCCGTGCTCTGACTGGTGACTGGCAAATGCTTACCAGGCTGTAGGAAACACTTTGAGGCCGGGAGACCTGTAAGAAAGACAAGAACTCAGCTGTAAACAAAGCTGTACTCTCAGCAGAGCTACAACAGAACAGCCCATTTCCACTAACAGCTCCTCTGTATATAGAATATATATTTGAGTACATACAATGTGCCCAGTTCTTTTTCCTTCATGTTAACTTGGTAGCACAAATCAAAACCAAGGACCACTCACAAAAACCAAGAAGAAAAAAAACCCAGCCAAACCCCAAAGCCCATTTGCAAAGCAGGATCCTAGAGAAAAGCTCACTGCATTTCAGGAAAGAAATCTCACCTGTCCAGAGTATTGGCTGCTTTGGGGAGTCTGTAAAAAAGAGAAGGTAATTAACACCTTGACAAGAGGCTTCTATAGAGAGCATCATGTTTATGAAAGTATAGTTGCGCAAGGGTTTCCCAGAAAGGCATATCCTGAGCCAAAGCAGACAGAACAGGCTGCTGGCATCTGTGCAGTAAATATTCTATTTGCTATTCTCAGTGAAAGCATTGAATCAATTTGAGATGCAACTGCCAAAGGAAACATCAAAAACCTGCCAATGGTGCTGGTCACACAGAGGGGTCAGTGAAGAATTTCCTATGGAACGGCCAGTTTGCTTCCCTGGCCATAAGAACTGCTACTGCCCCAGGAACTTGGCCCACACTAGGACAAGGACATGTGCTTACACCCCTTTTGTAAGGGATCCAGCCTATGTTAGGAAAAGCAAGCAACTACATCTTAAAGCTCTGCGGGGCAGTATGAAGAGCCCAGACTTCCTCCTGGCCCTTGCAGTGATGCTGAGTGCAATGATTTCATGTGCTGGGATTCCAGATAAGAAAGTATTTTGAGTGTGAAAATACAGATGTTCAGGAAAACATCCTTCAAAGTTGCCATTGTGAGAGCTTGCTGAGTGCTTTTGCAGGGCCACGGCACTCCCCTTGCTATAGTGCTGTGCTCTCACTGGTGATGGGCAGATACTTACCAGGCTGTAAGAAACACTTTGAGGTCTGGAGACCTGTAGAAAGACAAGAACTCAGCTGTAAATAAAGCTGTAGTCTCAGCAGAGCTATAACAGAACAGCCCATTTCCACTAACTGTTCCTCTATGCTCAGTTCTTTTTCCTTCACTCAGTGGCACAAACCAAAACCAAGGACCACTCAGCAACACCAGGAAGGAAAAACCCCAGACAAATCCTAAAGCCCATTTGCAAGGCAGGACCCCTAGAGAAAAGCTCATTGCACTTCAGGAAAGAAATCTCACCTGTCCAGAGTATTGGCTGCTTTGGGGAGTCTGTAAAAAAGAGAAGGTAATTAACACCTTGACAAGAGGCTTCTATAGAGAGCATCATGTTTATGGAAGTATAGTTGCGCAAGGTTTTCCCAGAAAGTCTTGTCCTGAGCCAAAGCAGACAGGGCAGGCTGCTGGCATCTGTGCAGCAAATAAGTTGCCCTATTCTAAAGTGAAAGTCTTGAATCATTTTCAGATGCAGACTCCCAACCTTTTGCATTTGATTGTTAGTGCTGTTGAGTACTTGTTTCCCGGGCTTTGGTCCCTAGAAGTCATACCTACCCTCCTGAAACACATCTTCCTGGCTGCATATAGTGGTACAGATAATATTGACAAACATTTGTCATTTTTTCTTTTTGTCTGCCTCCAAATAGAAGGAATTCTGAATAACCTTTGTACCTGAGCTCATACTACGATTGTGTTCCTCTGCAACAATTTCTGTTATCATTATGGTAGTATTTGTTAAATCACACACTTGGTTTCCACATAAGTAGCTTTGTCTGCATGGTTTTAGTAAGGCCGAAAGACATTGCACGTAGGTTTGACTTTATGATTCTCCATTGTTCACAATATGGATAAGCAACTATGTGAGATCTAATATACATGGGATCTGAATCTACTAGTATATGATTTATGGTGTGATACTGAGCCTAGAATCACTTACTCTCAGTGCCATGACTTTTATGCCCCTTTCAGAGGACACACTGAGTGGAATACAGACATTCCACTTCAACTGACCACAAATGGAAATACATTTATGAGCATTTCAATCAAAAATAGTTGAACAACAATACCAGGTGATAATTTTATGAACAAAACCCCAGAAAAATAGAAGTACCTGCACCCTGTGAAATACATTTAAACATGTAGGAAATAACTGATTTCCAAGCTGGGGAAACTTACCAGAACGTAGGTACTGCTGCTTTGTGGTCTTGGTGCACTCTACATAGGGACCAAAAAATGGTTATTTACTTTAAAAAGAAATTACTTCTGTAATAACACTTTTTAAGAAGCAACTCTATCCTTATATCTAATAGATGGTAGAATCTAATGTTATACATTTTGCAAACAATGATGTTCAATAAACATATTTCAGCTGTGGTAACTTGCTACTGATCTTTCAATGGAAGTGAGAACACATTACAGTTTGAAGAACTATCATATGCAGGAAGGAAAGCCTAAACTGTGAAGAATGGTAGGTAGGTTAAAATTGCAAAGGACCCAGAAAAAACACTCCTGAGTGATAGCCATAATACTAAACTAGTTGTTTACATTTTAAAAATAGACTGTTTAAGTGAACATGGAACTGTTCAGGTTAGGATTTATGCATATTTGATTTAATAGTGAATAACATTCAAACTTAAGTTCTAGAATTCCATGCATCTTGCTGAGTAGACTGAGATGATTAAATTTCGCAGATTTTGAGAGTACTATGGAATGAGCATACAGAGGTTTTCATATTTCTTGGCTGTGGAAAACATGCAATGGTCTTTAATCAGCAGCCAAGTACAATACCACTTTGCTGTAACCATAGAACCCCCCTACTCCACCACTGTAGTCTATGGATATCTAAGATACCCATAAGGTATTCATATTTAGTCATTCACAAAGAGATGAATCATTAGTTTATTGACACAGGGCTTCAGTCGAAACTTGAGCATAATGGAGAAAGAATGTCTACCTGTATAACGACCCTAGCAGCAGAACTTCCCAAACTCTGAAAGAAAAAATAAATCAAAACCCCACATCAGATAACATAGAATTTGACTTGTTTAAATGGAGTGCAGTTAAACAGAAAACACAAAGTTGTACTGGTTTGCTTGGGAGAATAAAGGGAAAGATTGTATATGCAATATATTGAGCATTAAAGTGCTAACACCCAGCAATAAACTAGTTTTTTTTTTATCCTCAGCTCTCTACTAAGTAATCTTCTGCATTTGCGTCTGGTTCTATTGCAGTTTCTGGTGAGAGCAGCAGAGCAGAGGCTATGCCCTCTTTACACAACCAGTGAGCTTGGCTTAAGATATGGTGAGTGAAGGTTAAGACACTATCAACCCTCCAACTTGGCTCACTGTCATCTGCACTGGACATGTATCACCACACAAACTAATTCAATTACTGATTTAGGCACTTGTTTGCTGTACTTGGTGGCATGAGGGTAAAAGGGTAGCAGACACCACCCTGAGGCAACTGGTTTGATCCCATAAGAACCACATTCCTATTATAGAAATAATAAAAGTCTGCTTACCTGGGGATAGGTGTGACGCTACAAATGAAAGAAAATAACCTTTAGTTATTTTGTACAACAGCTTGTCCAACAGAACATTGCAGCAGAAAAAGGGCCCTATCTTTTGGATACAATACACAACCAAACGTGAAAGAAAGATATAGGAAGGACAGTATAGGACAAATGGATTATAATCGTCACTCAGGTTAGAACAATAAGATGATTGATTAGAAACTAGGCATCAGAAAAACATATTATCAAATGTTTCATCACACAAACTTTCTTTAACCATCTTCAGGCTAAATTTAATTTTGACTGACTGTGTGAGTTCCAAGTGAGCAGAGTGGAAATTGAACAGTTTAAAAATGAGAGTAAAAGTGAATTGCAATAGATACAGAAAAAAAACAATCAAACTATTCAGGAACAGAGATTGTATGCATTGAGAGACCTGTTATCTGCAGCTAATCCAGTATCTCTGCAAGTACTTATAGCAATCATAGAACCATGAGTTTTGTAGCTATCTTAATACTGGCTTTCCCTGAAGATAACTATGCACCTAGGGTAAACTATGCCTGCCAAGGGCTGTCTCCATACACCAGGAACCTTTCTGACAAAGTAAGCCTGTAGGTATTTCAAAGCTTTTTGAGTCAGAACTTTGAGTAGTGTAGAGAAAAAGTGCTTACCACGGGTGGAAAAGGGTTGCTGTTGGCCACCACCACCACCTACAGAGGAATAAGAGAAAGCTGCTTATTCATCATAGAGTTTACTTTGATAGTTCAATATGTTAGGAAAAAGAAGAATACGGAGTTCTCTAAATTTACAAACTCTAATAATAATGCTATGTATGATCACTTTTATAAAATACTATTTTTATAAAGTCATTCAATGCACATTACCAAGCAAAAAAGACTATATATGTATATACAAGAGTATAAGGAGGTAAAACACTTGCTCTCAGTCACACAAGAACTCAGCTGTATAGGCAGGAGCAGGATTTCATGTATTGTACCAAACCCACTGGCCTATATTGTGTGTCCTTTTTGATCTTCAACTTTCCACCTCAAAATGGAAGAGCAATTTCTTTTCTCTTTATTCAGCATTATGCTAAAAAAAAAAGGCTTCGTATTGAGTCCATTCAAAAAAATGAAGCCAAATGCAGTAGTAGTAACTTCTGTAAAGGTTTTAATATTGTCTAATTGGAAGCTTCTCTTCCCACCTTATTTTAATTTTTTTGACTGAAAACAGTTTGTATTATCCAGTGGTGTAAAAAAGGAAGAGGAGAGTTAGTGCTATCAGAAGAATTCTAGTATAAACCAGGGAGAAGTATTATGCTTTTAAAAGTAGCCATTACAAAAAATAATCTATCAGGATGTTTTGAATTCTTAGAACAATGGGAAATTAAATAAAAAACTAGATCTGTGAGGACATGAATGGGTACATTACATTTACACAATGGTGTACATACACCATAGAATTAGCCCTGCACTCCTGGGGGCTGAACTGAGAGGAACAGTTGATGTAAATATTATCAGTCAAATACAGTAATATGAATTCTATTCATTTCACTTGCTTTGAGCCACACTCATTCTCCAGCCCCATCTAAATAATAACTGCATAACCTATAACCTTTAAAGTCCTCATTACCTCACAATCACTATGCTAACTCTTTAAAAGCAAGTCAACATAAACATGTATGGATTTTATTTTACATACAGTTAAGTCAACTACCAACAAAAGCCACCACAGCACAGCTAGCTAGCATAAAGAATCTAAGAGCCAAACTGATTTAAATCATATGACTCAGTCTGGGTTAAAACCTTGAGAAGCCTTAGAATGATGGAATGGTTTTGGTTGGAAAGGACCTTAAGATCATCCAGTTCCAACCTTCTGCCATGGGCAGTGTCGCCTCATGACCATGTCATCCAAGGCTCTGTCCAGCTGGTAAAAGGAACTGTAGCACCACTGAAATAAAAGGAGTAATGCCAAGCTATCTCTAAGTATGTTTTCCCTTTGAATTGAAAAGGAGAGCTTACCTTCTTACTGGACTCTGAACTGCTTGAAGGCACAGACTGTAAAGAATGCAGAACCCATTTGTTACTTAGGTAAGTGTACGACAAATTAATTACAGCAGTATTTGTCACAAGAATGTTAGAGCTAACATAATTTCCCTAAAATACCAAGCAAAATAAGATTCTGATGAAAAATATTAAAGTATTGGCAATTAATAAATGAAAGACTGAAAGAAATTGCCTGGTTTAATTTTTTCCTACAAGCCCCAGTTATTTTGTGAGCTTCCCACAGCACTGTGTAAGAGCTGCAAATGCTTCATCCAACATCCAATTGGGAATTTGTTCATAATAAACTCTTGGTAGAAACAAATTAATCTCTTCTACCATCACCAAAACATAAACCAACCCAAACTCCATTCCACTCAAACTGAAAAGCCTACTGTTGAAATGTGAACTTGAATAAATGGGATGTGCCATGAGAAATGTGTTAAAAGAAGCATAAAATAATCTGCAGCAAAGTTTTGCATTTCAGCAAATCATGTATACAATTGCATAGGCAAAATCCACAAAATACACTTTTAATTCATTGTAACTATCAATGAAAGCACTGACTTTTGGAAAATCATAATAAAAGTAACTGGTGTTCATTCACAGAACAAATATGGAGTTTCTGTGCAAACCAGAAGTAAATAACTTCTAACAAAGCTGATATTACAACATGAATTAAGCATATAATTCATCTGTTGAAGTTATTTCCATTACTACTTAACCATTTGGATACAGTGCTTCTTTATCCCCTTCCATGAATTTAATTACTATTTGGTAAAAGTTTGGCATTACTGCTTGGTTTCTGAATAGCTTAGGAAGCTGAAAACATGTTGGAAAGCACATAGTTACCAGGCCATAGGAAATACCACTGCTGGAGGGTGCACTCTGAAATAAAAACAGAAATCAGGTATATATTTACATAATGATTTGTTAATTATATAGATAAGTCATCACTTCTTTTTTCTTAGAGGATCTACACTTCAAATCAAACTGATTTTATCTCTATGTAAATAAATCTAGGGCAGTAGTAAACAGAACTTGCTTAAACGCAACTGAAGAAAAGATTTTCCAACATTCTACTGCAGTCATAAGATTAATGTTGCTCTATCACAAATACAGTTTACACTTACATAGTAAGCAAAGGTGAAATATATTTAACGTTTAGGAATTAACATATCTAATGACTTATTTAAAGTTAAGCATATCATTAAGTAGTTTCTTGGCTACAGTTTCAGTTTCTAACAGATATTTGACAGTGTTTTCTTACTTGCTTTTATGGTTTTAAAAATGCGAAATATGTCAGGTTTTGAAATAAACCTGTTTTCAGGTGAAAATGAAATAACTGAGATTGACAATAGAAATTACTTATTAAAAAATCATTTGATTAATACACAAAGATTGCAAAAAGAAACCCAAATAGTATTGCACAATATGCAATAGCCAAAGACAATTACTCTTATCGGACAAAGAGCATTATGCAGTTAGGAATTCTGACATTTTAGTAAGCTAACAAATTAGGCATTTATAACAGGCAATGAGTACCAACTGTAACATAAATTATTACTTTCTGAGGAAGTGAGTGCAACACCTTTTAATTTTGGTTTTTAACCTCAGAATAATACCTCAGCCTACCACCAGTTTCCTTAGTATATTTAGGAAGAATAATGTAACTCTGCAGACGTGAACAAAAAATTTTCAGTAAGGAGATGAGCACAGCATTCGACAACCAGTAAACACATATATAACCAACTTACATCTCTACAGGCTTGTTGACTATAGGCATCCGCAGCACCCCCCTAAAAACAAAATGAAATTAGTTATTTCTCTTCTGTAATTGCTTAAAGGCACACTTCAGACACCAGGCAAAATAGCCCCTTGTATATTCATGATTATTTAGTGGTACTCAGGAAACATTTTAAAACAGACACTGTCAAGACATTTATTAGAAATAAATGATCAAGATTTAATGTAAAGCTTGTGATTCAAACTTATCATCTATGTTATGTGTATGTACATATATATGTAAAACTCAGGAAGTGGGAACTTGAAAGAAATAAGAATTAACACCTCCCTGACTGACTGACACCAGTCAATCAACTATAAAATAGCAAGGTCCAGCATAAGTACTGATAGCTCCGTCTTTGAAGGAAATCTCACTTATTAATACCATCAACGGTCCCCCTCCGAACTGTAACTTTGTTGTTCTTTGCAAACACACAATAGACATTGTGATGAATTTTACAGCTTACAAAATGACAGGAATGGTTTACATTTTTGGAAACATTGTCCTTGTTGGAGCTGTGTCATCCTCATTTTTCTAATTGGAAGTGGCAACTGACAGTGCTTACCTATGACTAGCTCATTTTTGTTTACTTGCTATACTATGAAAAAACAAGCAAAACCCTGTCATCAACATAGAAAGACTAAACTTGACTGTTTCAAGCTTTTTTTGTCATTTTTTGTATTGAGTAGCAACTTAGAACATGCAGACCAATATGCATCATTTTTATCTTGAGTAGATGTATGAGTGTAATGTCATGCATGGATCATAATTCCATGATCCATAGGTTTCCATTTAACTTTTTAACATCTCTGTTTGCCAAGTACTTCATAATATTGAATAAACTGTAATCATCTTCTTGCTCACTCCAGTATTTTCTACTTACAAAAGAAACTCCCACATGAACACTCATAAATAATGCAGTCGAAGGTTAGGAGTTAGTATAAATATAGTTTATAGGGGACAAAAAAGCAAAAGTAAGAGAAGTGCTTACAGGGCCACATCCATTCTTGCTTATTGTGTAGACTACTGCATTCTGAAATAAAAACAGGAGTCAGTTATTTCCATGTAAAGAATAAAGGCGGGGCAGAAAAAAAGAGAAGCCCTACTGCTTACGGTGTGAAAAGCTGTACAATTGAGAATGTGTACGTGCAAACAGGGGATAAGCAAGTGCAAAGGTTACCAGTTCACTGGCATCTGGCTGTATCAATTCTAAGTCAGTCATCGTCTGGATCTTGTATAACTTTGCCATTGGTTGTACAATCTTTCAAAAGCTATAAGTTGTTTTACTAAATGGTCTGTATTTCAGAAAAAATAAACAACTTCATGCAGTTAAATGACAGGATGAGAAACCTAACTCTTAGGAAAGAGTATGTATCATATCTGAAGAAAATACAACGAAGAAAAATCAGTATTTAGTATATAGACATCAAAACAATTGGTATTCTCAGAGGCTGGTGATTCTGCTTACAAGTAGTGAAGACTGAACTAATGGAGTATTACCAGATAATTCATTAATAAGTAGTAAAAAATACATCTTTGAGAAGCTCAGTTCAAGAAACTGGAGACATACCAGAAAGCATCTGACAGTTCAAGTGCAAATAGGCATGTTATGGTAGTGGAGGTAATTAACTAGAACACAAGTATCCATTTCTGTGATTAAGGAAGTGAAAGCAATCGATGAGAGTGCAGACATACACTCCCCAGAAGCTTTAAAAGGCTAACTAGTCAGCGAAGTCCCTAAATTTTCAACTGCAAGTATAATCTGCTGTTAAAAGTGATACAGACATTATAGTGGAGCTTTAATGTACACATGAGTATCTGGTGAAGTTTGGAGAAAATCTTTGGGGAAGTCAGTGAAACACACGCATAATTCCAAAACTATAAAAGAAATGATTTTATGGTTCTGTATTTTATAAATACCATAGAACCACAGAAAAATTTAGGTTGGAAAATACCTTTAAGATCATGGAGACCAACCATAGAGGGGTTGGAACTAGATCTTCAAGGTCCCTTCCAATCCAAACCATTCTATGATTTTATAATAATATATTTGGATTACAATACAAATGCTTACGCTTGCTTTATAAAATTATCATTCTCACTATGACAAATGGAAAAGAAATTATTCCATCTCTGCAGTTTCCTCTTTCTGAAAGGCACTGCACACAGTGAGGGGGTCCTTTTACTTCTTAGAATCATAGAATCATAGAAAGGTTTGGGTTGAAAAGATCATCCAATTCCAACCCCCTGCCATGGGCAGGGACATCTCACACTTATTGTTTCTATATGCGAAGGCTTCAGATCACAGGGAACACTCCTAAGGGTCAGCAACAAACCAGCTTGACTGAATTCACAGAGTGTTTGCTGCACACACAGGTAGGAATCCCCTAGGAAGATGGAAGGAATCTTTCTGCAAAAGGGTCAAGTTAAAGCTTGATAAAAATGTTTAATGTGTGAGATCAGAGGTGGTGAAGCTTTTTGTAGTTAAGAATACTGACAGCAATCTACTGAATTCAACAGAGTGTAGGAAGCTGAACCTAGTCCATGTACTGGACACACAGTTCAATGGAACAATAACTCATTCTGCATTAGCTAGCAGAGGTGGTATTTCAGTGCAGTATTAAATCACCTGAGAACACTGTAGTTACAGAGTTTTAGTCGTTTGAGGTTACTGGAAGTTAGAACTCTTACCGGACTGCCTGAATAGCTGCTCTGAGAGGAACTGGAAGGTCCAACCTGGAAAGAAACCAAAATGCTATTTATTATTTTGCAGAAAATTGATTTTTAGCTTATTTTTAGATTTTTTTTTAATGAAAGAAGGATCTACCTAGTGGGAAAAGGATCAACATACAAGATAGTCTTCTCTGACTTCATTATATCAACTGATACTATTGAAATTATCTCACAGATCTTTAAAGATCTCTGAATTTTTAATCAAATAATCAAAAGTTAAAATCAAATAATCAAAACTATACCAAAACAGCTGGCATAAATCAACATAATTCAGTTGCTTGCACCCTTTTTTATCTGGCCTCATATACTTGATGTGCATCATTGAGGAGGAGATCTACACTGTCAAGACCATTAAAAAGTATATGAAAATTTTTTAGTGGTACGACTATCTAATCACTGAACACTGTGGCATGTAGGGCATATTTGCTGGGAGAATGGAAAGAAGAAAAAGAGGTTTCTTCTCTTAGCTGCCAGTGATAGCTTTCAGAAAAATAAAATCAAATACTTGAATTCTATAAGTAGATGATGATCTGCAAAAGGCAAGTTTTCAGAGCTGTTGCAATAAGTGGTCTTTAAAAGCAAGCAAGCACTATGACTAAAAAGAGAAGACAGAAGAAAGGAAACTTCTCTTAGAAAGTTACTCCAAATCAGCTCGAGAGAACCGGCAGGAGGAAATGGGAACAAGGTTGATGACCATTTAGGAAGTTTGGGACTTTCATCAACCAAGGTAAATTGCCAAATAGAAAAATTTATTGTGCAACAAGATGGATAAAGATTTGAGTAGAAGCAGGTTTTGACTGGCTCTTGAGGTCTTGAGCAATTAGCAGTGTTTCAATGTCTTTGGAGAAAGAATACTTACCATGACGCATCCGCCTTGTGTTGTGTAAGTCCCCCCAAGCTGCGAGAAAATACAGGTTCCAGTTACTGTTTATTGACTGGTGTATAAGTACTACACTATTTTAAACAGTAAATCAACTGAATGCACATTCATGTCTGAATGAAGGAGCCAAGTGTTTTATTGCTTACAATACCTCACACATTGTAACAATCTGACCCAAGAACTGACATTAAGTAATTAAAAATTAATTATTAACTAATTTAACTAATTAATTAACTAATTAAAAACTAATTCAAAACTGCATACAAGAATATAGGCAGAAATGAGATCTTACTAGGAAAGTAATTTAAATGGGACAATATAACTTTTTGTGCTATAACCATGAAACAACTGGGCCAGTATGACAGGAATTCTAAAAACTGGGAAATTGAAGAAAAACTGCTCTTACCTTCTTACATTCTAGTGCTATCATAACCTGTTGGGGGGAAAGAGCAGAAATTATTTACTGAAAAAAAAAAAAAGCAACATATTATAGGAAACAGGAGAGGTGCTCACTCTTGGTTAGATCACAAGATGACATAAATCAGTATTGCTACAGCCAAGAACCAATACTGTATATTTGAACAGACTTTCTTTGCTTTAGCTGCCAGTCATGTTTAAGATGTTTCATATAAGCATAATTCTTGGCTAAAGAGTAACCAAACTCATTTCTAAGAATATGCTACACAGCTCTTGTTCCAGTGACTGAGGCTTCAGATGGGTGTACTATGCTTTAGATTAGCATAGTACACCACAAGTATAATTGAGTTATCCTGATGACCAATTTGGTTTTCTTTGTCTTTATGCTATGGATTGTTCTAAGAACTAGATTGTTAGTTTCCTTTCACTCAAAACATACCTTCCTTTTACTTTTTCCTGTCCCATTAACTGACTCAGAATGTGTAGGTGTGAGAGTTTTGCTTTGAATTCCAACCCAGAATTTCTCTAGATCTTGAACAACAGTTGCACTGGAGAGAGAACAAAATAACCATTATCTTTCTATCAAATTATTTCAATATAAATTACCAATGAACTCTCTTCCCTCCTCTGCCCCCAGCCAAGAAAATCCACTCTGTTTTGATTTTAAGAGTGTGCAGTCCAAAATTGACAAGAACATCATCATTTCCCAGAACGCTTCGCTTTCCCAGTTACTGTGTTATCATCTTGCACTATTTTGAAGATAAATAAAACAGATGCTGAGAAGGAGCAGAATGGGCACTATTTCAAGAAGCATTGACTTCAGTGAGGCTTATCTGCTCAAATGTCCATAACAATTGTCACACCTCTTTCCTGCTCTGACAAGCTCCATGATTGTGAACTGATTTTCACCAATTAATGACAGGAAATGACTGTGGTTTTAAGTTTTGTTCTTTTGCCCTTTTTTGTTTTCCTCAAGATTTAATGAAGCAAGGCCCCTATTATAAATCTATGCTCAAACAGTATTGAGATCAAATATTTAGATATTTTCCAATTACATCAAACATGCATTTTTGTAGATCAGATGATATTTTTACAAGCATCAGATCTGCAAGAAAAGTAGCTCTGAACATAGGATAAATCTGTCTTCTATTTGCAACAATTAGTTCATGGATTGTAAACTTAAATTTATCTTACAAGCATTTACATCAAACTACTGTTCTGCTGTTCAAAAAGAAAAAAGTTTTAACTAATTAGTTCGAACTTCACTTACTCACTTAGTTATATTCATATTGCTAACCCTGTAATTAAAGAGGCCAAAGTGTAAAAACTAGTTACTCAAAGATCCATTAATAACATTATTTACATATATTAACATCTGTAGGACAGTGTTAATTTTATATTATTATAATAATTGATAATATAAATTTATATAAACATCTATATAAATTTATATACACATTTATATAAATTTATATATTTATGGAAATATAAATATGTTTATTATTATACCTTAAAATGGAAAAATGTTTTGAGAGTAGCCCTGAGGAAAAAGACTTGGGGGTGCTGATGAGAAGCTCAACATGACCTGCCAGTGTGTATTTGCAGCTCAGAAAGCCAACTGTATCCTGGTCTGCATCAAAAGGACCATGAGTAGCAGGCTGAAGGAGGGGATCCTGCTCCTCTACTCTGCTCTCGTGAGACCTCACTTGGAGTATTGTGTGCAGTTCTGGGGCCTCTAACACAAGAGAGAGATCAGAGGAGGCCACAAAGATGCTCTGAGAGCTAGAGCACCTCTCCTAGGAATACAGGCTGAAAGAGTTCAGGTTGTTCTCTTCAGGAGAAGAGAAGGCTCCAGGGAGACCTTAGAGCTGCTCCAGTGCCCAAAGGGGGCCTACAAGGATGCTGGAGAAGGATTTCTGACAGGGCCTGTAGGGACAGAACAAAGAGGAATGGCTTTAACCTGCCAGAGGGAGGATTGAGATGAGCACTTAGGCAGAAGTTCTTCCCTGTGAGGGCGCTGAGGCCCTTGGACAGGGTGCTGCCCCATCCCTGGCAGTGTTCAAGGCCAGGCTGGATGGGGCTTGGAGCAGCCTGCTCTAATGGAAGGTGTCCCTACCCATGGCAGGGGGTTAGAACTGGATGAGCATTAGGGGTTTTCAACCCAAACCATTCCATGATTCTATGATTTTATGTTATTTAATGGATACAGTGGAAAGTTACAGCAAACTATGAAAACCCCACAATTGCGGCAAGACAAGAACATCAGCAAGAGCAACACAAACCCATGTCAAAATAACCCATAGAAATAAAATTTCAAGGAAAAAAAAGAAAAAATGTAAACAATTATTTACATAAATTGAAGATCTTTAACACCATGGGGAGCAATCCATGTTGTTGTAACTTTCTGTTTCACATCTGAATTGGCATGACTTACTGCTGAATTCTGCAATTAAAAACAAATACATATAATTATATAAGATACAAAAGTGACTTTTTTTGTCTCTTGAGGTAAGACTGATGTCCTCCTAAAAAGCGCCACAGAGATTCTATGAGATTCATTCCACATGCAGAAGATACATGTATTTCTTGTGCAAGTCTAAATTTTTTAACTCTATTAATGAAATAACTTTGCTACAAAAAATGCTCACTACTTCTGTGAATTCTGATTAAAGTATTTAAAAGGAACTAAGCTCAAGTAAGTATTCCAAAGACTGAACACGTACCGTCACGTTATGACACTCCATGCCTTTAGTGTTTGGATCTGTAATTTTAAATGTACCAACAGGAACATCTCCATCTATTTCTCGAGCTTGTAGATTAAATCCTTTAAACCCAACATCTTGAAGTGCTTCCAGAGTCACTGTGAAAACAGACATTTTGAGAAATTTAAGTTTCACACACAACTAAAAGCTCTTAAATGTTTCACAACTGATTTCCCTCACTGCAAAGCACAAGACTGCATGTAGAAAAAGTGCTTTAAAAATTGTTCAGCTTTTAAAAATGTTAATAATCAGGGAAATGGCAAGAAAGAAAAAGGAAGAAATTTGGAGAGGCATTTCTGTTTAAAGTAACATGAAATACCTAATTTAGTGGCAATTTTAGAAGTAACCCTGCCCTACTGAATGACTGCAACTGTCTTATTAATCTCATTTGCTCCACATTCATACTCCGAAAACAAGCCAATGGCCCTGCTGAACAAAAGGTTATTTATTTTCTGTCTAATTAGGCCTACGGAGTCAAAATAGCTACAGAGAATTACATTTCTTTCCACATCTGTTTGAACAGAAAAGATTAACTTTTGCCTAATGCTGAATCGCAAGACCCCTTTTTTTTATGTGCTATAACTGGAAAAAGAGGAACCAGAGAGTTTGGCTCTCATTTTCTCTATTAAATATGAAAAATTAGTGATTATGAGCTTCTCAATTTGACTTCTCAATTTTGTTACTGAAGGAGCTCAGAAGACTGTGGAAGAGAACAGTTTGTGCATATCCCAGTTAAAAGTAAATTTAAAGAGGCATAACCAAATTTGTTAGGATCTGTCATAAACTTGCTCTGCTAATGCCAATATTAAGCACTTTCACAAATACAATCAGAATAACAGGTTTATGCCCAAATCTATGTGTAGTCATTAAAAATAAGGACAGACAGACTAGGAATGGCACAGAAGTCAAGGCAAGGCTCAATCATTCCTTGACAATAACACCTCCATAATTAGCCTTCCCATTTGTCATCGAATTTCAGTCCTAATTCACCAATTTTTCACAGGTCTCATAGGAGGGATGACATCAAAAGCTTAGACACACTGTTAAATCAAGCACAAACGCAACTGCAAAAGTGTTGGGACATGACATGCCACAGGTGAAACTGCAGTGAACTCAACTGGGGGGTAACAATGTAGCTCCCTGAGACCAGGTACTGGACACTTTACAATCTGAAGCAATAAAAAGTAGTGCTAAAGCAAGAAAGGCATGGTTAAAAGAAAAAGGGGGAGAAAAAAGGTTATTAACATTTGGGATTCAGTATTTTTGTCATGGTAAATCCCATACAAAATCACAGAAGAATCCGTCTATACTTAAATCCAGCCATTCAACATTTTGCTGGCAATACTCTTTAAAAAATAGCTACCAAAGAGTCCTCCCATCCTTGTAGGAGCTATTCACATGTTTTTCCAAAAATGGAAGCTGTAATAGGACACTTCTCCATTCTTCTCCCTATATACCACCCTCTGTGGAAGCACATCCATGCTACTGGGCTTAGGTAAAACAGAATGTGAACTAGGCAATAGCATTAGTGAATAATGCTCTTTTTCAGCTACTGAGATAGAAGAATAGGTATGTGACAGGTTACAACTCCCACTTCCATGCTTCTAGCAAATGGCTAGAAAAAGCAGCATTCACAAGCCATTTAAAGTGCGATAGCACCATGAGATGGCATCATAGTATGGAGAAACAAGGCTGTCAGGGTGTTCCTTCCAGAGAGCAATTTTGGATTAAGAAGATAAATAGGTTGGTTTAAGCCACAATAGATCCACCTCCTGCAGTACGATAAAATCTGGGATGCAGCTCTTAGAAGTATGACTCAAAATGTCTCACTCTTGAGTTGTCTTATACTGCACCCTGAGATTTTATTTTCCTGTAAGATGACAGCATGTGAGCATCTACTGAGTAGGATCCCTTTGTATTGCAGAGGCCTGACACAACAGCAAATACTCATATACGAAGTTGAAGAGCAACTAATTATTAGTCTGGTTTGGCCAGTCATCATCCCATTTCATTTTAACTTTGTCATAACAATCATAGCATAAAGTTAAAATAAATTTATTAGCCAAGGAAGATAAAAAAAGAGATATACATGTGTATATATATATAAAAAGGACACAATGTATAAACAAATATATACATATATATAAAACATTTTAAAAAAATTAGTATCTCTAGTATAGATGAATGAGATTTAAATAAAAAAATAAATTGAACTAAACTGAGAGGGAAATTGGGAGAATTTTGGTGAGAAGGGGGAATTGTGGGAGAGACAGATTTTTTTACCTTGGACTTCGTTTCCTGGCTCAAAGTTATCAAAAGATACAGCAATAATATAGGGTGGTGCAGATGTCTGTGGGACAGCTTCATAGTTTGGTAACAGAGAATCACAATCAATTGAGGTATTTGTCTGTGGAAAACCAAGGGTTCCGGGCAAAAATATCCCACAGAACAAAAAAACGAAGCTGGGGTGTCTCGTCATCTGAAATAAAAAGACAATATAGATTAAAGTGACTTCTTTTGAGTAGTTGCCATGTTTGACAAACAGCTGCTTTTCTCCAGGGTAGGAAACAGAACAAGACTAGAGAGCTGGGCTTTCATTGCATTCATGTCTTTTGAAGAAAATAAGTTAAACTAAACTGCCTATATACACTGGCAGAGCAGTGCAATATATGACACAAGTATTTCCATTTGAAAATACAATCTCTCGTTATACACATGCCAGCAATCCATGAACAGCCCTGTCTGCTGCATTATGGCTTTAGACTGGAAAAGGATTTAAACAAAAGTCCTCCTGGTTAAGCCAGCAGATTTAGCTCAGTCCCTTTGTTATTCAAGAGCTAAGACACAATCCTTAGTCTCTCAAACTGCTTTGTGTAGCTCTAACCATGATTAACATGGTCTCTTTTGACTGCTTTGCCTACTCCCACTTCCAAGAGACAACCAAGAAATCTATTGTTAAATGCCCCAGAGAACTCTTAGAAGTTTTTAAAGATATTTGTTTCCTGAAGGACTTAACAAGATTTCTGCAAAGTCCTTTGGAACTTCTAAACAAGTTAAAACTACTAAATTGTTCAGCGTGCTTCCTATAGGATAAGAATATTATACCCAGGACAGAAATTCACAGAAATAACTAAGAGGCAGAACTGAAGTCCAGTCTCCAAGGACTCTCAGTGGAAAGAAAATGTATTTTCTTAAATGAACTATAAATTCACTTGTAGCACTGACATTGATAGTAAACTGTTTCCAGGAAAGAAAAGAAACATTTCCCAGCAGTATTCTCAGGTGTCTAATGCCAGATTTTCTGGCCCATTCTCAAAGTCTAAACATTCAACCATGGCACCACAAAATTTGTCAGGCCATTACATCTTATGAATATCATCACTGTTCCAGCTACAAAAAGGCTGATACAACTGTTAAATCACAAGAACTTAGTCAAATACTATATTCGATGCTGTCTGCTACAGGGTTGCCTTGTGCGATACAATAAGCTGTAAGAGAAAGGAGATAATTGACTTGAGTTTTTTTAAGTTTTACAAACACAAGAGATATGTTCAGTTTGTATCATCAACCTGTGTATCTTCATTTGCACATGAATGTGGAAGACCATTTGGTTTTGCATGTGCTAATGAATTAAGTAACAGGAGCATTTGGAAGCAGCAGGGAAAGCTTCAGAACACAATTCCAAACACTCATATACTTAACTCTGGGTAGCTTTTTAAAAAGCCTCATGAGTCAATAGATAATAAAAGAGGTGACTGTGAAGTGTTGAAAGATTTCCTATAGGAAGATGGAGGTTTGCATGGTGTCATAACCAGTAAGTGCAGCAATCAGGATACATATGCAAGTTACCATGTCTTTAAAGCAGAGGGAGACTATCCCTCCCAAAAGTGCCATGAAAATGTCACTTCAATGGGATCCTGGGCAGCATCATGTTTTGGTATCAGTGTGCTGGGTGCGGTTGTCCCATCTCTTGTGACGATTTGGACATGGCCTGCCTCTAATTAAACTTTAAACACAGCATGTAGGTGCTATTATGGCGACAGATGTGGTAAACAGTGATTTAATATGAACCAGTCTACGTGTTGTTGAAATCTCTGTCTGACTCACAGAGAGGTGGAAGAAAAAACTGTTCCTAATTAGATGTTCTATTTCAAAGCACAGAGTCCTTAGCACTAGTTCAGCTAGTACTGAAAAACTGTTTGGAGCTACACTCCGCCACGAAAGGAAAGCAGGGTGAAATCTCCTTTCCTCTTTTTTCTGACTAGAAGAAAGCACAACAAGTTGAAACACAGCTGAGATGCCTTCTCCATGCATCAGCTCTCTGACTTAACAGTTCCAAAGCTATCCTAGGCTCAACATGCCATCCTTTGGAAGCAGGTTTTAGATGAGGAAGAGGGAGAGAGCAGCATCTTACAAAACTCCAAGTCCAGACTTGAGGCAGGAGCAGAAAAAAATTCCCATGGACCCTGAGTTCCAATACATATTCAATGCAATCATGTTATCTTGCATCACAAGTTGACCTTTTCTTCATGGAAAATGTAAAGAAATTAAAAGTAAATATTTATAAAATAGAAGCAATTTTGTCAAAAGAAGGAATTTTGTCAACCAAATATCATTTGCAAGCTTCTAATTGGATATAATTGTGAAAATATGACTGTCTTCTCAGTTCCTTTATCTAATGGATTCTAATTCTTTTTATCACAGATACAATCCCTTCCTCCTCTGAGCCTACATGGCCCTCATCTTTGCAGTACCTGAGCTGCTACCTTAAATATCCACTTCAACATTTAGTTTACTACGACTTGGGGCCAACAATTAAATCCCCAGGTACTAGTTACTTAGCTACAGCATTCAAAGTCTAGTGGACTTGGGAAGAGGTGCTTTGGTGGCTTGCTTCTCCAGAGCCTTAGGCAAATTTCTGAATAGAGACAAAAGTCGTTTTAAAAGCCTTTAAATATAGAGCATTTAATATAATAAACACCTTTCTGTAATTTGAAAAAGCATAGTCCTGGCATGCCCATCCTGCCAACAGTCCTGTAGACCCCTTTCTAACCCCATCATTTATGAGTATTTTCCTCTCTTTTCTTCTCCTAGATGCTCTTGATGAGCCACAGACCTCCTCCTTAGCCTCGGAGAACAAGTACCAGCAGTTAGTGTGCACCCATCCACCACATCCCCACCAACACACCTTCCCTCCGTGCGGGCACCTCCGGTCCCTCGGTGGTCAGCGTGGAGGAGCTGCAGCCTGGCAGTGCTGGTGGCCCAGCAAGATGAGAGGGAGGAGGTGGAAGGCTCAACCAATCCGGGGCGAGGCGGGGAGCTGGTGTGGCCAATCAGGGCCAGCCATGCTCCTGCCCTGGAAATGAGGACAGCAGAGGTGGGACCGCGCTGCCCAGATGGGGCGAGGACAACACACGCCGCACTCCTCATGGGTGAGTCATGCCCCTCGACCTCTAACTCTAACTCTAACCTGGCACAGGGAAGGCTTCTCCAGGGTGATAGCCTCAACTGCTGTGTTGATTACAGTCACAGAAGTACGCTACACGAAACACTTAACTAACATTTCATGAGCGGTTCCCTTAAAGTGTTCTACACTGGTTGGTTTAACTTGACCTCGGAGCATCTCTGAGAGTATCTAGGAGATGCTCTGCTGCTGTTTTTTCACTTTTCTATGCCTTTCTTACACCTGGAAAAGACATGGACAATTCCAATCACGTATTGGAACAGGCTGCCCAGGGCAGTGCTGGAGTCACCATCCCTGCAAGTGTTCACACACCGCGGAGACGAGGCCTCAGTGCCATGGGTTAGTGGTGGCCTTGGCAATGCTGGGAACGGTTGGACTGGATGATCTTTTCCAGTCTACTTAATTCTATGATTCTACAAATACCACCAAGCATTTTCTCAGAGCAAAGAGTTATTGAGGCTGTTTCATTTCATGTACCTTGTGGGAAGGGCCTGAAATTATTTTATCTGACCTGCATTAAAAACTAACTTATTTTTTCTTTTCAGAAGCATTTTCACAGGGTCTCTGCTGAAGACTGGGAGAAGCCTGAAAGCTGGATGACATAGAGGATAGAATATTTTCAGCTGGAAGAGATATACAATCATCTAGTCCATCTGCCTGATCATTTCAGCGCTAAGGCCATTGTACAAATGCCTCTTAAATGCTGCCAGGCCTGGGGCATTGACCACATTCCAGTGCTTGACCACCCTCTTGGTGGTTTCACCTCTCATGCTGAGGTGAAACTTCTTGTGTTTTAGTTTATAGCCATTGCTCCTCGTCCTGTCACAGAATACAAGGGAGAAGAGCTCAGCACCTCTCTCCCCACTTCCCCTCCTCAGGAAGTGGTAGAGAGCAATGAGGTTGCCCCTCAGCATCCTTTTCTCCACATTAGACAAGCTCACAGTCCTTAGCTGCTCTTCATAGGACTTTCCTTCCAGCCCTTTCATCAGCTTTCTTGCCCTCCTCTGGATTCAAGAACCTTAACAGTATGACAGATATTTCCATTTAACCAGTGAATAACAGGAAATCCACGACGCAAAGACTTTTCACAAGAAACTTCTTCAACTTCTTGATGGTCGTGCATTAAAATTACAATTCAAAATGCTGACAGTATTTTACAAACAGTCTCTATTTTTAAGATTTAGTGAATTTAACTAACTGTATTCCCTTTCAGTTAATTACATTTAATTAATGAGGAGCATTTTATTTACATTATTCCATTATGAAAGACATTACTTCCTATCTGTTACTATCCACTGGGGAAGAGATTGTAATCTGCCTTCTCTTACTGTACCACCAAACTAACCATTGATACCATATTATAAATAGCAATGAAAGTGCATGTTACACACACACACCAGCTTACTGACAACACCATCAAATACGTGACACAGGAAAGGAACGGCAACTGACTGCCCTAGAAACACATAAACAAATGCACATATGCAAGACCTCCTTCTACCATCTAGGAGATACTAATAGGTCACCAGAGGGATCAGAACTATTACTCCAGGCTACTCAGAGCAGCAATCAGTACTCCATGAATATTTGGTTTGACAGATACACAAATGTCAGGCAATGAATTGCTGTAATCTTGGTAATATCATGGTTATAAAGAACCATAGATAAGACAAGCAAGATGATTGTAACACTAATAAAATACTACACTGAATAAGCTGGTAAAGACTCAGACCATTAGTTTACAATGTGAGAGTTGTAAACCTGCTGCCCCAGCTCTTACACAATACACTGTTTGTGGTTTATTTCAAAGGAACAGTATTTCCACTGAATCAAACCTAGGGCACTGATTCAGTTTTAATTTACCTGCTCTCCAGAACTGCCAATAAAAAGAAGTCTTTTCAGGTCTCCACACCTGAAAGGACAATTTGGAGATCATGAATTAAATACTGACTGAACTAGTGGTGAATTCCTCACTCTGGTGAAACCATGATTACAAAGTTTGCTACGTACTGAAA